GTGTCTTATCACCCAATCCTATATACAGTAATGTGTCTTATCACCCAATCCTATATACAGTAATGTATTGATTCCTTTACAGGGGAACCAAGTGACTATCCACCCAATACTGTCTACAGGAACCAAGATCTGGCACCTTAGGGAGGAAAGTCAGTTCTACCCTAAGGCGAACTTCCAATCGGCAGTAGGTGTGATACCTAACAAATCTACTGTGATGTTTTGTTTGGGAGAGATTGACTGCCGCGAGGCTGTAACACACTGTGTGGAGCAGGCCCGATACGATGTAAGTATTGCAGCCATTTGTCCAGATAACATCACTGAGGGGGAGGGGAGATAATGTCACTGAGGGAGAGGAGGGGAGATAACATCACTGAGGGAGAGGAGGGGAGATAACCAGACTGAGGAAGAGGGGGAGGGGATAACAGCACTGAGGGAGAAGGGGAGGGGATAACAGCACTGAGGGAGAGGGGGAGGAAAGATAACCTCACTAAGGGGGGGGGGGAGATAATGTCATGGAGGGAGAGGAGGGGATATAAAGGCACTGAGGGAGAGGAGGGGAGATAACATCACTGAGGGGAAGGGGATAACGGCATTGAGGGAGAGGGGGAGGGAAGATAACCACACTGAGGGGGGGGGGGAGATAATGTCATGGAGGGAGAGGAGGAGGGGAAAAACCTCACTGAGGGAGATGGGGGAGATAACAGCACTGAGGGAGAGGAGGGGAGATAACGGCACTGAGGGAGAGGGGAGGGAAGATGATGTCACTGAGGGGGAGGGGAAAACATCACTGAGGGAGAGGGGGAGGGAAGATAACCTCACTTAGGGAGATGGGGGTAACATCACTGAGGGAGAGGGGGGAGATAACCTCACTGAGGGAGAGGGGGAGGGAAGATAACTTCACTGAGGAAGAGGGGGAGGGAAGATAAACTCACTGAGGGAGAGGAGGGTAACAGAACTGAGGGAGAGGGGGGAGATAACCTCACTGAGGGAAAGGGGGTAACATCACTGAGGGAGGGGGGGGGGGTAACCTCACTGAGGGGGAGGGGAAAACATCTCTGAGGGAGAGGAGGTAGATAACATCACTGAGAGAGAGGGGGGAGAGAACCTCACTGTGGACGAGGGGGAGGGAAGATAACGTCACTGAGGGGGGGGGGGAGGGGAAAACATCACGGAGGGAGAGGAGTGACATCACTGAGGGAGAGGAGGAGGGGAGATTGCCTCCCTTAGGGAGAGGGGAGTAACCTCATTGAGGAAGAAGGGGAAGGGAAGATAAATGTCATGGAGGGAGAGGAGGGGAGATAACCTCACCGAGGGAGAGGGGGAGGGGCAACCATCACTGAGGGAGAGGAGGGGAGATAACCTCCCTTAGGGAGAGGGGAGATAACCTCACTGAAGGAGAGGGGAGATAACGGCCCTGCAAGAGAGGAGGAGGGGAGATAATGTCGCTGAGGGAGAGGGGGAGGGGGTAACATCACTGAGGGATAGGGGGGAGATAACCTCACGGAGGGAAAGGGGGTAACATCAGGGAGGGAGAGGGGGGAGATAACAGCACTGAGGGAGAGGGGGAGGGGAGATAACCTCACTTAGGGAGATGGGGGTAACATCACTGAGGGATAGGGGGGAGATAACCTCACTGAGGGATAGGGAGAGGGGAGATAACCTCACTGAGGGAGAGGGGGAAGATAACCTCACTGAGGAAGGGGGGGAGGGAGGATAACCTCACTGAGGGAGAGGGGGGTAACATCACGGGGGGAGGGGGGGGAGATACCCTCGGTGGGGGAGGGGGGGGAAACATCAGGGGGGGGGGGGGGGGAGATACCCTCACGGGGGGGGGGGGGGAGGGAAGATAACCTCACTGAGGGATATGGGGAGGGGAGATAACCTCACCGAGGGAGAGGGGGAGGGGAAAACATCTCTGAGGGAGAGGAGGTAGATAACATCACTGAGGAAGAGGGTGAGGGGAAAACATCACTTGGGGAGAGGGGGAAGATAACCTCACTGAGGAAGAAGGGGAGGGAAGATAACCTCACTGAGGGATATGGGGAGGGGAGATAACCTCAATGAAGGAGAGGGGAGATAACGGCCCTGCAAGAGAGGAGGAGGGGAGATAACCTCCCCGAGGGAAAGGGGGAGGGGAAAACATCTCTGAGGGAGAGGAGGGGAGATAACATCACTGAGGAAGAGGGTGAGGGGAAAACATCACTGAGGGGGAGAGGAGAAATATCACTGAGGGAGAGGGGGAAGATAACCTCACTGAGGAAGAAGGGGAGGGAAGATAACCTCACTGAGGAAGAAGGAGAGGGAAGATAACCTCATTGAGGAAGAAGGGGAAGGGAAGATAACCTCACTGAGGAAGAAGGAGAGGGAAGATAACCTCATTGAGGAAGAAGGGGAAGGGAAGATAAATGTCATGGAGGGAGAGGAGGGGAGATAACCTCACCGAGGGAGAGGGGGAGGGGCAACCATCACTGAGGGAGAGGAGGAGCGCCTGTGTGATGCTGATATATATCCACTGAGGGAGAGGAGGGGAGATAACCTCACTTAGGGAGATGGGGGTAAAATCACTGAGGGTGAGGGGGGAGCTAACCTCACTGAGGGAGAGGAGGGGAGAAAACATCACTGAGGGAGAGGGGGTAGATAACATCACTGAGGAAGAGGGTGAGGGGAAAACATCACTGAGGGGGAGAGGAGAAATATCACTGAGGGAGAGGGGGAGGGGGTAACACTTAGGGAGATGGGGGTAACATCACTGAGGGATAGGGGGGAGATAACCTCACTGAGGGATATGGGGAGGGGAGATAACCTCACTGAAGGAGAGGGGAGATAACATGCCTGCAAGAGAGTAGGAGGGGAGATAACGTCACAGAGGGGGAGGAGAGATAACCTCACAGAGGGGAGGGGAGATAACCTCACTTAGGGAGAGGGGGTAGATAACATCACTGAGAGAGAAGGGGCGATAACCTCACTGAGGGGGAGGGGAGATAACCTCACTGAGAGAGAAGGGGGAATAACCTCACTTCGGGGGAGTAGGAGTGGAGATAACCTCACTGAAGAAGAGGAGGAGAGGAGATAACCTCACTGATGGAGATTGGGAGGGGAGATAACTTCACTGATGTAGAGGAGGAGGGGAGATAATGGCACTGAGGGAGAGGGGGAGGGGAGATAACGGCACTGAGGGAGCGGAGATAACCTCGCTGAGGGAGCGGGGAAGAGGAGATAACCTCACTAAGGGAGAGGGGGAGGGGAGATCATGCCACTGAGGGAGAGGAGGGGAGATAACCTCACTGAGGGGGAATAGGAGGGGAGATAACCTCACTGAGGAAGAGGAGGGGAGAGAACTTTACCGAGGGAGATTTGGAGGGGAGATAACTTCACTGAATGAGAGGAGTAGGAGAGATAACCTCACTGAGGGAGAGGAGGAGGGGAGATAACCTCCCTTAGGGAGAGGGGAGATAACCTCCCTTAGGGAGAGGGGAGATAACCTCACTGAGGGAGAGGAGGAGCGCCTGTGTGATGCTGATATATATCCAGTATTCATTGTTAATGAAATACAAAACATTGTTTTTTCCTGAACATAATAAAGTCGTTGACTCGTTGAATATTTTGTTTTTAGGAAATTATTTCAGGACAACTTTCTGGGCTTTATGTGTAGACAAAGCTACATCAATACAAATGTAGTGAAAATTGCCTCACATTTAGTAAAGTAAGACACTATTAAAAATATCTAATCTTTCACATTTTTTTGACTGTCAGAACTTAGAGGAGGCTATCAATGCTGTCATAGACATCTACCTGGACAAGCTGTTGACCCTGAGGAAGGAGAGGGACTGGGATGTCCATGTACATCCAGTGATGCCCATCCTAGAGCCTACCAGGTATACATACTGTTAATAATGACTGAGAATAAGATGAGAGTATATTTTTAGGTCACCTGAGCTTTGCTCAAATGACCTATTCCAATCACTTTCCATCCGTCGTCGTTGACTGTCGTGCGTCGTGCGTAAACTTTTTACATTATCAACTTCTTCTCAAGAACCAGTGGATGGAATTTTTTCAAACTTGGTCAGAATCATCCTTGGTAGATGAGGCTACCAAATTGTAAAATTGGGATTCCTACCCCAACCCTAGGGGCCAGGGCGGGGCCCAAAAGGGAAAATTAACCAATATTTCAAAAATCTTCTTCTCCAGACTCAGAGGTATTACAGT